TTTCTGTGGGTAGATTTCTAGGGTAGGATGGATTGTGCAAAGGGTTTGTATAGTTTACAAATCGTCAAGCTGCTCTCCAAGAAGATCTGGCCAATAGATAATCCCACCAAAAGAATGTAAGACAGCCCATTTGCCCACACTACCCCAGCTGTTGTTACCATCTTTCAATTTCTGTTACCTATCCAAAAGGCTGCATATAGAAGATTATGTCCACATATGAGAGGTGGCCGATAGGAGAGGCTGCCATTATTCTGTAGTTACTTCTTGATGATTGCAAAGAAGGGATGTAATCATCTCTTTGAGGAGCCCTTGCCCCCTGACTTTTAAGGTGACAGTTGTCCCAGGGAGGCAGTTGGCTCTTTCCCATGGAAAGTAAGCCCAGGGGGTGGAGTTTTGCAAATATCTGGCAACTGTTTACACCTCCCCTGTCTACAGTCAGTCAAGCTCCAAGATACCCAAGGTGAGAGCAGATGGTCAGCGTAGGGAAGTCCTGATGGGTAACCCCACCCCTTGATGCTTCTGAAGGGCTCCCACCTGCTTTGCTCTATTCTTAGCTTCATGGCTGATCTTTCTTGGACATCTGGTCTGGAGATTTTTCTGGACAATGGTCCTGAGCCACATTTGTTGAGTCTTCCTGAAGGAGGCACACTGGGACAGTTAAGGTTTGAAACCCTTGGGGGTTTCTCAAGAGAAGGGTCTAAGGGCTACTACTAGAACCTCTTTCCAGATGTCATGGACTTGGGGAACTCTTGAAATTCTGGACATCCTCAAAAAGAAGCCTAGTCATCCATGCACTGACGGTGCATCTGGAACAGATGTCAGTACCATTAGTTCCAGTGTTTCGTTTCGGATTTTTTTTTTTTTTTTACTTTTTTGTAATAAAAAATTTCAGACCTATAGAAAAATAGAATAATGTAATGGACACTCACGTACCCACCATCTAAAGTTAACAGTTGTCAACATTTTACTGTTTGCACTTTACCTATTTTTATGCTAAGCCATTTGAAGGAAATTATAGATATGATGATTTTTTACCCCGAACTACTTTAAACACATCTCTAAAAATTAAGCTCCTGTGATTTTAAACACTTTTTAAAAAAGCAGCAAACTATTTTATTAAATGAAATATCATGTGGCTACCTAGCACATGGAGTTGTGGTTGGGACATGCCCAAGTGGTGACGTCAAGTAGGCAATTGAAGTCTGGACTTCAGGACCTCAGGACACAAGTTGGAAGTGGAGATCTGGTTTTGGGATATGTTTAAAGCCATGTGGGGAGAGAGGGAGGAGAGGAGGGCCCAGGACACCCAGGCATTGTAGAGAAGCCAGCAGAGGAGGCTGACAGAGCAGCCTTCGGAATGTGAGGAGAAGCTGGACAGTGGGTGCCCCTGGGATTGAAAGAAGAAAGTGATTCAAGAAAGAGGTCCACACCAGATCATCCTGAATGTGCTCCATCTCACCTGATCTCGGAAGCTGAGCAGGATTGGGCTTGGTTAGTACTTGGATGAGAGACCACCTGGGACTACCAGGTGCCTGTACTCAGGAGGCTGAGGCAGTAGGGTCACTTGGGCCCAGGAGTGCCAGGGTGACAGAGGAAGACCCTGTCTCAAAAAAAAAGTGAGGGAAAGAAAGAAAAGAGGGCATAGTTAGCCATGTCTGATACTGAGAGGCCAAGTAAGCTGACGACAGAGAACTGACCACAGATTTGGGACAGATGTGGAACGAAGGTCCAAAACTGGTACTGCCCACCTAACATCTCCACCTCACAAACTATAGATGAGGGCCACAGAGGGACAGTGACTTGTCAGAGAGTATGGTAAGTTAAATGGCAGAGTCAGGACTAGAGCCCGGGTCTCCTGGCATCCCCACGGGTGGGCTGTACCTGCCTAATACCAGCCTTCTCCCTCAGGCCACAAGCTGGATTTTCAGGCCTCAGTTTCTTATTAGTACACCCTCTCCAGAGGATTACCAAGTACCCGTTGCTGCTGCAGAAAATCCTGGCGAACACACCCCTTGATGCCAGATACCCTGTCCTTCAGAGGGCTACCTCTGCCCTCCAGGATGTGAATGCCAACATCAATGAGTACAAGATGCGCAAGGAAGTAGGTAAGGACGTGGGGCGTTTAGGGGATACATGCATGAGAATGCTTCCAGCTACAGATAATTCGTCTCTAACTGGCTTCACCAACAAAGAGAATGTGGTGGCTTGTATAACTATAAATCCAGAGGTAGTGTGAACTTTAGGTAGAGTTTGATCAGGGAGCTGTTTCATTTCCCTGTAACTCTCTTGTCTTTGCTCTTGACTATGTATCAGTTTCATCTTCAGCCTGGTTTCCCTCACAATAGTAAGTGGCTAGTGCTCTCCCAAGACTCACGTCTGAACACCACACTTTCCAGGAACACTGTAAGACAGGGTTATTCTCCCCCTAACCACAGAAATTAAATTGAAATTTCACTCTGATAGGAGCCACTTGGGACATGTGTATATCCAGTAAACCAATTGCCATAGTTAGGGTGCTATGAACTAATTGGCTTAGGACTGGGTCATGTGACTTTCTTGGAACCAATCACTGTTGCTAGGGGGATGGGATTATATGGATTGGTTTATACCAGTAGGCACTCACCCCTGGAGCCAATGTGAGGTCAATCTTGTTCAAACCGCAAGAGCTACTACCCTGTGGAGGAGAAACCAATACTACCAAGGTGAAGAGCTGTATATATATCTAGGGGTGTGTGGGGGGGGGAGGGGGCGTTAGGAATCCCTGCCTTTTAGGTTGTTGAAACAGAAAATAAAGCTATGTCCCAAGTGTGGAGAAACTACATTGCACAACCTAGACAATATAAAAATGACTTAGCTGATGTTTACTAAGGGCTAACTGTGCTATATATTTTCCTTCATTATTCTATTTGGGCCTTGCACTAGCCCTCTGAGGTTGGCTGTATTAGCCCCATTTCACAACCAGGTAAAATGAGAGCTTATATTATTTGTTTCAGGTCACAGACCTGGTAAGGGAACAGAACCTTCACCACCATACTGTATTATTATTGCTATTATTATCATTATTATTTGAGACAGAGTCTCATTCAGTTATCCTGGGTAGAGTGCCATGGTGTCATAGCTCACTGCAACCTCAAATTCTTGGGCTCAAGTGATCCTCTTGCCTCAGCCTCCCAAGTAGCTGGGTGTATAGGTGCCCACCACAATGCCTGGCTAATGTTTCTATTTTTAGTGGACAGGGCGTCACTCTTGCTAAGGCTGTTTTTGAACTCCTAAGCGCAAGAATCTACCCACCTCAGCCTCCCAAAGTGCTAGGATTACAGGCATGAGCCACCATACCCAGTATGCTGTATTATATTTGGTAGATTTCTTCCCCACTTGCTTCTCCATCCAGGTCAATAAATCAGTAGGAAGTAGAGTCAAGAGTAGGAATTGTGATTCCCAGCTGACCTGGTTGGTCTCTCCCTCCCTTCTTTAGGAAATCCATTTAGACCTGCTATCTTATGTGGCCCAACCAGCAATCCTATCAGATGTCTAGCCTCATGGGGAAACTGAGGCCTCAGGGAGTAGTGACTTGCCAAAGTCAAGTGGGAAGGAAGCTCTTCAGCCAGGGCTCACACCTCAGGAGGACTCTATGCTTTTCCTACACAACTCACCATTCTCATGGATGTCATCCTGATGGGGCAGAGGGCCCAAGCAGGTGCCTGCCTGGTGTGTCAGTGACTTTGCTTTCCTAGTTCAGTATTGGTCATGGGCTTTTCCTCTTCTCTGTCCTTACGTACAGCGTCTAAGTACGCCAAGGTGGAGCAACTGAGCCTCCGGGACTGACTGGCCCACATCAACACACACACACCCTCTCCAAGAAGACCACCCGGCTAAGTCAGCTGCTAAAGCAGGAAGCAGGGCTAGTGCCCAGGGTGAGCAGGGGCCCGGGAGGAGTCACACCCCACCCACTCCCAAGGGGCCAGACCCTATGCAGTGAACGGGATGGGAGCTGAGGCTCCTTTCAGAAGTGAAGCAACTGAGGCTGAGAGGGTGAAGTGCCAGGAAGAGGCAGAGCTGGCTTCCCCACTGATTCTGAAGAGCCAGTGTAGGACTTCTCCACTGAGTCTTGGGCCACTCTTTCTCTGGGACCTCTTTGCACAGACAGGAGAACTAGTCCCTGGGTCTGAGCAAAGAGCCAGCCTCAGGTAGCTGCTAGGAGCAGCTCAGGTTGACTGAGTGCTTTCTCTGAACCAACCATTATTTAATCCACACAATGAAGTAGGTGTTCTTATTATCCCCATTTTGCAGATGAGAAAACAAAGGCTCAGAGCAGATAAAACACTTGTCCACAGTCCTGCAGCTAGGGAGCAAATAAACCAGGACTCATATACTTGAATGTCTGATTTCATGGGCTGAATGCAAAACCACCAAACTCCACTGCTTTCCAACTGGCAGGCCCAGCTTTGAGGCTGTTAGAACTGGTTGTGATGGGAAAGGTTGTCTGTTCCCAGTGAGGACCTTGGACACCAGAGCTGGTGTACACTGCCCCCGTGTGGATCTTCTCAGCCTTCACACCCATCTCTTTACTTTCAGACGAAAGACAAGGAATTTGATAATTTGGAAGAGAGGTTCCAGTGGGTGTCTCTGTGTGTAACTGAGCTGAAGAACAACATGGCTGCTTACCTGGATAATCTGGAGGTGAGGACCCTGCAGAATTAATCGTGGACAAGTCTGGGCTGGGTTGCCTGTGAAGGAGGCATGTGGGGCTCAGCCTATGAACTGGCAAAGGTACCAGCTACAGTAACCGAACAATGAGGTCATCGAGTTTCTGGCTTCTGCCTGTCACAACAGTGGCAAGAACTCCATAGCCCCAAAGGCAGCTTCTGAGCCTCTGGGGGTTCTCAATGAGCAGGATCAGGGAGTCACTGGTATCAGAGCCCTCCTGAGGGACCCTGCCAGACCAGCACCCAGGTAGTAGGCAATCTGATGCAGTAGAAGCCTTATGACTATCAGGTTGTTTATGAGGCTTTTTCAGTAGGCTTAGAGATAATATCTGGAATTTGAATAGCTGAATGGATGAATAAAGGAATAAAATCTAAAGGAGCAGTTATTACTCAGCTCTGGGAGGGGTGAGGGTTTACTGCAGTGTGGGAATATATGCCCAGTGGGGCCAGTTTTCTGATTTTAAAGAACCCTGGAAATTCAGACCTTTTGGTGAAATCTCTTGATGTGTCCATGTAAGCAACTAATTCAGTAAAGATTTAAATGTTCTATAGGCCCAAGAAAATATATCTCTATAAACTGAATTCGGCCCACAGAGCCATCAGTTTGTATGGCCCTCCAGCATGTCACCTTCCTCAAGCCAGACGCCCCCTCCATATGGTCAGCGCGCTGACTCACTCCATCCGCTCTGCCTCTTGGATGTGGTTTTTGTTCTCTGTCACATCCATTTGCGCAAACCAGAGATGATAATGGGCTTTTTGGATAATGGGATTGGGGGTGGCATTGTTGGAAGTACGTAAAAGGAAGGCAGTCGTAGTTCTGCACTCTGCTGTGTGGGTCGATCCTGCTGCTTGTTCATGTTCCATCCTGGCCTCCCTGGGGCAGGATCCTGTTATAGCACAGACAGCCAGAGGGGAGGACGCACAAAGCCAGGTCACAGAAAAGCAGGGAGGGGCCTGCGGGTGCTGGGCCTTCAGGGAGAGAAACCAGAGGGACATGAGGGACATGCCTGGCCTTGCCAGGCAGGGAGAATATTTGGAAGCATTAAAGCTGCATAGACACAGGACTTACACAACAGATACTGTGCTTTATATGGAGTCTCATCGTGAAAGAAGGATACCCTCTTTCATCCTCTGACCAAGTCAAGGAAAAGCCTCTTTGCTGGTGTGTCTTTAACACATGCAGAATGGGTCTCAGGCTGGGAGTCTTCAACAGGCTATGATATCCAAACAGTAAAATTTAATATATTTTTTGGTTTTTAGAGTATTTATTTATACATGCCTATCTATGACAATTATTTTTGGGTTTCCTTTTATGTTCACATTATTATAAGTTTTTTGGTTTTTTTTTTTTTTTTGAGATAGTCTCACTCTGTTGCGCTGGGTAGAGTGCCATGGTGTCATAGCTCACATCAACCTCAAACTCTTGGGCTCATGCAATCCTCTTGCCTCAGCCTCATGAGTGTCTGGGACTACAGGCATGTGCCACCAAGTCCAGCTAGGTTTTCTATTTTTTTTTTTTTCTTTAGTAGAGATGAGGTCTTTCTCTTGCTCAGGCTGGTCTTGAACTCCTGAGCTCAAGCAATACACCCACCTTGGCCTCCCAGAGTGCTGGTTTTAATTTTTTTAACGCAGTGACTTAAATTTAATAGAATGGTTGATTGGTTTGGAGAACAGTGTTAACAGAACATGTAGAATATGGACATGCCAAAAAGTCACAAAGGTTGATATGCAAGTGTGTGCAGTTTAGGACACATGGGAGAAAGATGTTGGCTCAGTCTAAAGAAGAATTGTCTACCATAATCAGCCAAGTTGTGCAAGAATAAAATGAGCTGTGTGTCCCTGTCACTGGGGGATGTTTAGAGAGCCTGGACAACCTTTTGGGGAAGTGTGGAGGAGGGGGATTCAGGCAGAAGAGGACCAAGACAGGCCATGATTGGATGTCTCCTTTTGGTCTGGGTCCAGGCTTTCCTCCGATACAGGCCACATGAATACAATCTGGACATTCCCGGGGGGCCTGTGGTGCAGTATTGCAGCTTGGCAAGAGACCTTCAACTTGAGGCCTTCGTGAAGTTTGTGAGTGGAACTTCTTTCTCCTTTCTTTCTTGTAGAGTCTGTAGGTGGCAGAGCCTACAAGTATAACAAGTATCACATTGAAGTCAGGCACTTTACAAAATTGTCATATCTGTAACTACCTGGGTAGTCGGCAGCATAGAGATTATTATTAGTGCATTTTCCTGATAAAAATAGCCCTGCTAATGTTTGTTGAGCCTCACTGTCTGCCAGGCACTATGCTAAGCCCTTTGCATTCTTTACCTCATTTAATCCTCACCGCATGGCTTTGGGGGTAGGTACTATTAATAGCTCCATTCTGCAGATGGGAGGTGAGGCTTGGAGAGGGTGACCTCTCAGGTTATTTATACAAGATGGTCAGTAGCAAGCTTCAATCTGAGCCCTGGAGGTTCTGGTCTTGACCAACACTCTAGATAAATCTTTTCCAAGATATTGACATGGCAATGATACCAAGAGGTGACATATACTGAATGCCCACTCTGTGCCAGGCACTCTCTTAAGCCCATTACCCACATTGTCCCCATTTTTCAAATAGGGAAATTGAGGCCCAGAGAAGTTAGATAACATGCCAAAGGTCACAGCTAGTCAGTGGAGGTGGGAGTGGAATCCAGGCCTACCTGCCTCCAAATCCCCTTCTCCCAGCCTTGCCCTCTGCCACCTGTTTTCCCAACTCCCAAGCTCATTCCTCCCCACAGAAGCAGTGACTGGAAGGCCTGGTGTGGCGGCCACTGTGCAGCCTGTCCAAAGCCCTCGTCGGCCCTCAGAACCTAATCAAGAAGCGTCTGGACAAACTCCTGGACTTTGAGCAGGTTGAGGAGAAACTGCTAGAGGTGGGCAGCGTGACCTATGAGGAAGAGGCCACCCGGCACACGTACCAGGCACTCAACTCCCTGCTGGTGGCTGAGCTCCCGCAGTTTAACCAGATGGCCATGCGGTGGCTGGGCCAGATCCTGCTCACATTCATGGCCCTCCAGAGGGATCTTGCAGAGCAAGTGCTGCAGAGGGCGGAGGGCAGCATGGCCCAGGTAAGCTGCTGGGACTGGGGGCCTCTGAGGAAGAGCCAGGAAGGACCTCCCTTCGGCCCACTGTTTGCAGGGGCAGGAAGGAAGGCTTATTCTTTTTTTTTTTTTGAGACGGAGCCTCAAGCTATCCCCCTGGGTAGAGTGCCATGGCATCACGCTCACAGCAACCTCCAACTCCTGGGCTCAAGCGAGTCTCCTGCCTCAGCCTCCCAAGTAGCTGGGACTACAGGCGCCCGCCACAACACCCAGCCATTTTTTTGGTTGCAGCCATCATTGTTGTTTGGGGGGCCCGGGCTGGGGATTCGAACCCACCACCTTAGGTGTATGTGGCTGGCGCCTTAGCCACTTGAGCCACAGGCGCCGAGCCAAGGCTTATTCTTCTAAACTGTCTATCAGCACTTAGGAGGAGGCAATGGAGACCTTCTAGATCTCCCTCGTGCCTATTCTCCTGCCATTACTGGAGTCAGACCATGAAAGCAATGGTAAAACTGGGATTCCAGGCCATTCTCAGGTTCTGGGACTCAGAAGCAGAAGTTTTGCTGGGAAAATAACAGAACTTGGTACCAATCCCTAGGGTATATTGGAAATTGGCAACAGAGACAGAAGGCCCCTTCTACACACCCAGGAGTAAATGTCTCAAGCTGGTGTTCCTTCTACTGTTACTACTTCTAGCAGCTGTTTCTCATGAGCCCTTGTCTACCTGTATAGAGCACTCTCCATGTATTATCTCATTTAATCCTCACAACAACCCTACAGGGTAGAGTAAGAGTTATTACTATCGTCATTTCAGAAATAAAGCAGCTGAGGTACAGAGAGGTTAAATAGCTTGCCTGAGGTTGCACAGCTAATAGCAAGCCTTGAACTCTTGCAGTTCCACTCCAGGACCTGGGCTCTGAACCACAACGTCCAAGAGCTTGTGAGAAGAGCTGTTGGCAGATAGTATTAATAGGTTCCAAAGAGGTCTGGACAGTGCTCGCTTCAGCAGCACACAGACTAAAATTGGAACGATACAGAGAAGATTAGCATGGTCCCTGTGCAAGGTTGACACACAAATTTGTGAAGTGTTCCATATTAAAAAAAAAAAAAAAAAAGAGGTCTGGACAAACCTCCAAATGCAAACTTTGATTTTGGAATTTGAAGACTGGAGTTGATATAGCAAAGAATACCCCACTGCTTCCAAATCTTGCCCTCTGAGGTCATCATCAGAGCTGAGTGGCTTATGGATCCAACCTTGGGAGCAATTTCAAGAGTTCTCATGCTGCACTTTGTCTCCTGTGTTTCACTGTCCCCAGCTCAGCTTTCCCATCCTATTGGGAACTAGTTCTGGCGACATCATAGGTTCTCTTCCAATGGCTTGGGGGGGTGGTGAGGGGATGAAGATGATAAGAAAGAAGAGACACAAAGAGACAAAGGATAGTTTTAAGAGTCTTAGCTGGGGTCAGAGGCTGCAGTCCTTTTTTGTGAGGTTTCAGCAAGTAGTCCTGAAATCTAGGCTAGCTCTGTATTTACTTTATACTTCAGTGTTTTAATTATAAATTTTATGAAGGCAAGGCAAACAATCTCAATATGGTTTGTGCTGTGCTTGTATTTCTTTAACTATGTTAATTGTATGGATTTACTTGTTACTTTTATTGTTTAAGGTATTCATGATCTTAACATAAACAGATTATGGGACAGCAAAATAGTCCAGGAGCAGGACATCAGAGAAAAAACCCAATTAGGCCACGCACACAAATCACAAAAGCGATCATTGACACTCGAAAAGCCTTATGTCCAGACGGACTGACTCTAAGGTGACAGAGGAAAAGAGATATTTTATCTCTTTATCTGGTCTAGAATAATTTTTGTTGTGTTCAACAAAGTTATAGCAGGGGCACGCTGCAGGGAGAGGGGATGTTCCAACAAGACAGTTTTTAGAACTTGAAAGGAACAGACTTTTAAACAATATTTTACACTAAAGTTAAGATTTTTCTCAAATCACTTTTCTCATATTTCTATTTTCATTTTGTCCATTTTTTTTTTTTTTTTTTGAGACAGAGCCTCAAGCTGTCCCCCTGGGCAGAGTGCCGT